AGAGAGCTCCGCCCCCGCCGGCCGCAGCGGGAGCCCTTGGCTGCGGTAACGCCGCAGCTTCCTGGCAGGCGGCAGGAAAAATAAACACCATTAAAAAAATGGAACATCCCCATAACCCGAGGTGACCGGCCGCGGCGTTGCAGCCGTGCAGGCGGGGAGGGCGAGCCCCGGCCCCGGAGAGGGTGTTCCCGTTCACCCCCACCCAGGGGATTTGGGGTGAAGCGGGAGCCGTAGGGCAGGAGAAGGGGCGAGGTGGCACCTCGGCGCGTGGAGGGGGTTGGGGCTGGCTGAGACACCCCTCTGAGCTCCGCTGTCCGGTGATTTGTTATTAATTTGCTCATTTGCTTCTGTTTCGGGAGCTGTGTAGCTGGCCGGGGACGGGAGCGGGTCGGGTTTTATTCCAGGAGTGGTGAAATTGTCTCATGATCCCGATGACATGCCTGATGGCGCCGATGTCTGTGCCGGAGAGGGAGGTTTTCCCCTCCTTTGCTTTTGGGGCAGCAGGACTCTGTCCTCTTTTTTTGCCCTTAATATTGCCCTAAAGGGTGGGCAAACGCGTTTGCCAAAGGTGAGTGGTTGAGTTTTGAGTTAAAATTAAAAAATACCAAACGCGTTGTATGCACCAGAAACACCGAATGGTTTTTTAAGGTTAAAAATGTTAAAAACTGGCAAGAGCAGAGTACGCCGGGGGATTAAAACCAGCCCAGGGACTGTGCCTGCAATTGGGAAATGCCCCCGTGCCCCCTCGCTTTCGAGGCTCAGCCGTTCCCGGCTCTCAAATCAGGTGCTGATCCCCGTCCACGCTCGCTTGGATGCGCCGGGGGCTGGCGTAGGGCCTGATCCTGCGGCGGAGGGCGGGTGCGTAGCGCGGCGCTGCTCCTCTCCGTGCAGCTCGTCCTGCGCTGAACCCGTTACGGGATTAAGCCCAAAGTCACACGGCGGTGCAGAGGTCCCCTGGGACGAGCGGCAAGAGCTGATCTGCGGACATAAGGAGGGCGGCGAATATTGGCGGGCTCCAGTCTTTCCTCCCTGGGCCCCTTCGGGGCGGAAAGATCCTGAGGATGGCTGGAGGTATTGCCAGAGGGGAAGAAAACATCGAGATTTTGGGGATAAACTACCCTGGGAAGTTATTCTCGCGGTGAACCCAGCAGCTCACCGCTTGTATCGGGCGTATTTTGACCCTCACCCCGAATTCAGTTTGTTTAAGCCTTTATGTTTGACGCAATTAACGAGCAAATATCTGTTTTATTTTCTGTTTCAACATTCAGGCCTTGCATAATGTTAGGAAGCGCGGCCGCTTTTCTTTTATTTTGGAGGGAGTCCCTTTTTTGCAGAAGGTGGACGGACGCGCTCCCGGGAAGCAGCCGCCGGGTGAGTCATCTCCGTGCAGAAATAGCTCTGCTGGGAGCGGTGACACGGTCCTGCAGGGATTTTGTTTCTCCCTACCCCGGATGGAGCCGGCTGCTCCATCCCACGCTGCTAGCGGTGTGCCCGTGGGCACCGCCGGCTCCTGGCTGGATTTAACGGGGCAATTCGGGGCTGGGAGATTTGCTAAGTATTTTTTTTTTCCCCCATCTCCGCTCCCCTCCTGCGCGGGGCAGAGTCAGGGTTTGAGGTGGCTGCTGCCAGACCCCACAGCTCAGCCTGCTTGTCTTTAGCCGGAGAGGATGAGTGCAGGTTTATTGAGTCGCTCCTAACGCCGGTATCTCCCTTTTCTGTATCGTAAGGGGAGAACGGCACATGGGGCAAGGACGTGATTTGCCCAACAGCCCCCGGAGGCCGGTGGTGAGAAGTCCCATCCCGGACCTTTATTCGCTAAATAAAGCTGGCTTAGATTTTAATTTCTCCTTTGCATAAAAGCAACGCGTATCTTGATACAATTAAGAGCGGCGTTGGGGACGGCTGAGAGCGGAAGGCGGCTCTTGCAGGAGCGTGGCAGGGATGCTCCGATCTCCTGCCGGTAGGTGGGGGCAGCGGTTGTCCAAGCTGACTTCATGGCTTATCGTTTTCCTTAGAAATCCCATAGAAAACGGTCCGGTGGCCTCTCTTCTCCCCCGCGACCTGCGAAGGGGAAGCTGCTGTCGGGGCGCTTGGCTCTGAGCCCTGGGCTGGGAGAGGCTCTGTGCGGCAGCGGTGGCAGTGCCGGGAACACCGGGGCAAGGAGCCTGGTAGAGCAACTGATTTTGTTTTCCAGCTCTTGGGAGCGGCTGGATTTATCCCCGCTGGGGCTGTTGATGTCCACGGTGCTTCAGGGAGAGCGAAGTGATGCCTGGGAGGTGGGGAAGGGAGGCAAGAGCTCACAGGGAGCTCTGCTCAGGGCAAGTTAATGTGAGATCAGGGTGGCTGATGCTGTTTCCGACCTCGTGCTGGTCAGCTCTCGAAGGAGGCAGAGCTAAAATAAGCCAAAAGAGACCAAACTGGCTTTTCCCCAGCTCGCAGGTCAGTTTTTTTACGTGCGTAACAAAACGTTAATTCAGGAGAGGTGGCTAGATGGAAGGTGTTTGGGGAACCTCGGCTGAAAAGCGCTGAAGGGACTATAGATTGCGTGGGGGTCGCCGTTCAGGTCTGTGTTTGACCTAATCTGCCCGGAATTCAAGATGTGTGCTGGTAGCCTTTCCTGTTCAGCAAAATGCAAAAATCTTGGGCCCGGAAGAGCTTTTTGAGAGGCGGGTTCGCTCCCCGTGTCCACATCGTCCCTTACAGCTGCCCCTAACGGTGTCCCCGGGGTTAACCAGCCGTTCCAGGGCTCTTTCCCTGTGCCGCTGCATCGGTACCACGACGTCTCCTTAAGGCTGAGACCCAAAATTATTTTCTCGCCGCTGGCAGCTCTTTGGAATATAATGACAAAAATTACAATTACTCTTTCATGTTTAGTCTTTTTTTTCCTGTTTCTCTTGGTTTGGACCTGAAAATTGTGGTGGCTAACCCCACTGCCGGGCTGGCTGTAGCATTATTTGGCCTCAGATGATGTCTGTAAATAAACGTCAGCTTTTGATGGATGCTTGTACAAAGAAATAACTAGTGTTGGGTTTGAAGATTTCACAAAAAGCCACTTTTACAAGATTTCAACCCGGGGTTTAATTTTGAGCGCCCGCTTCCTTTTGCAGCGTGCCACCTTCGAGTTGCAGTGGTGGTTTATTTAATTTTAGCAGAGTCATGAATCGCGTTTGTGCCCAAAATAGTTTGATGCTGGACTTCAAACCAGACAAATCCCCCACAAATCACCTTCAGCTGAAAAACTCTTCCTGTTGTCGTGCTGATGACAAAATAATCATTGAAATCCTCCCAGCCCCAACTAAGCCGAGCTACTGGTGCCCGGTGAAAATTTCCCGTGTCCCCGTGTGTTATTCCTCCCTCTAACCATCCGGCTGAGTTTCCAGCCGGGTTTGGCTGCGGGGTTGGTTTTTTGAGGTTTTTCCATCGCTCTGCTTTGATCGCCGCGGACCACAAGAGGTCGGCAAAATTCAGGAGACGTAACCTGGGCTCTGCCTTCGCTCCCGGGTAGCAGACTGGCACATCCTCAGCGGAGCCGCCTGGGCACCTGGTTTCTTTCCAGGATAATTACTCCATTAAAAGAAACACCCCAAACTAATTATACTGGAAGAAAATCAGGGCAATTTTGGAACAGGGCATGTGTTGCTGGGGTTCGTTGCCGAGCCATTGTGCTGGCTGCTTTCACGTGCAGCAAAGCCCAGGCGCTCGGTGGAATTAAGAGGGATCAGAAGCATTAAACGGGCTCTGCCCGCTCACCCTGCTCTCCGGAGACTCCTTTAATTCCTCCGTTCCTGGTACGAAAGGTCCCGAGCTTGGGAGTTCGCTGCAGGACGTAGAGCCCGGCCATGCCGTGACATTTGGTGCCGTGCCTGAAGGTGGCAGCCGGGGAAAACCCAAGCCATTAACCAAACTCCCCCTTCTTTGTGGTTTGCAGCCAGGAGAGCAGCCCGGCCAGCCCTAAGCGCTGCCTTCAGCAACGCGCTGCCTGCAGAGTGATGGTCTTAAAATGAAAAGGTGCTGTGAGGGCGTCGGGCTGCCATGCCTGTTTAAGGTCAGTGCCATTCTCACCCGTCTTATCCTCTCTGAACGGGGCTGTCCCCTCTCTTCTCAGGGTCAGGGAGCAGGAATCGGGTCCCCATCCTGCAAACCTCTGGCCTCAGGCGGCACGGGAGCAGCCGGGAAGGTGAGCGGGTGCTGCTGGGGGGCCATCGTGGCTTTAGCCGAGGGGAGCGGGTGGGCACCGGGAGGCCGGGCTGGGGCTCACCGGCTTTGCACCGTGTTGGCAAAGTGGGTTTACTTTGGTTTTAGAGCAGGGCAGGAGTCGGCTCTGAGTTATCTCGGGCTTCTCAGGAGCCTGCGGAGCCCGACCCAGGGGGAAACTGCATCCAGATGGGGCAAAAATCAACCTGCAAAATGTTTTCCTCTGTCGGGAAGAGCCAGACTCGTCCTGGCAGCAAGAGCGGTCTGCAGGGACGCAACCCCCTTTTCAGAGGTGGGACAGGAGCAGGTTGGGGAGTAACCCCCCCACCCCGAGGACCCTCCCTGCACAAAACACCCCGAGGTGCATGCTGTCCCCGCGTCCCTTGGGAGGACGTGTGCAGCGGTAGCTCGGCACAGCGACCGCCTTGACTGCAGGAACGGGATTAGCGGTGACAAAATGATCTCTTTATAGGCAGGATAAATGCCTTAGGGCCGGGGCTGAGGTATGTCAGCAGGGGATTAGCCCCCCCCTAAGCCCAGCTGGGCTAATAAGCTGCCTGGGGGTGAAGTAGCCAAGGAGCGTTGCTCTGCAGGGTTGGCAGCCTCTTGCTGCTGTGGTTGCCACCATCGCTGTGCCAGGGCCGAAGCAAAGTGCCTTGAACTAACGGCTGGGCGTTATCCTTCCGCCTCGCAGGGTGTTGGTATGGCCAGCCCCCGGCCTCCCAAGTACCTCCTCGTCTTCGATTTCGACGAGACCATCATCAATGAGAACAGCGATGACTCTATCATCCGGGCAGCGCCGGGGCAGGAGCTTCCGGAGCACATCCGACAGACCTTCCGCGAGGGCTTCTACAATGAGTACATGCAGCGCGTCCTGGCGTACATGGGGGACCAGGGGGTCAAGATGGGGGACTTCAAGACAGTCTATGAGAACATCCCCCTGTCCCCCGGCATGCCGGACCTCTTCCAGTTCCTCTCCAAGAACCACGAGCTCTTCGAGATCATCCTCATCTCCGATGCCAACATGTTTGGCATCGAATGCAATCTGAGGGCAGCCGGTTTCTACTCCCTCTTCCGCAAGATCTTCAGCAACCCGTCCGGCTTTGACAAGAAGGGGTACTTCACCTTGGGGCCCTACCACAGCCACAAGTGCCTTGACTGCCCGGCCAACATGTGCAAACGCAAAATCCTAACGGAGTACCTGGCGGAGAGAGCCCAGGAGGAGGTGGAGTTCGAGAGGGTCTTCTACGTGGGAGATGGTGCCAATGACTTCTGCCCTTCCGTGACTTTGACTTCAGCTGATGTGGCTTTCCCGCGGAAGGGCTACCCCATGCACCGGATGACCCAAGAGATGGAGAAGAAGCAGCCTGGAGCCTTCCAGGCCACTGTCGTCCCCTGGGAGTCGGCTGCAGAGGTCGCCCGCTATCTCCAGGAGGTCCTCAAGAAGAAGTGTTGAGGATGGCTCAGAAGAAACTTGCGTATTACAAGCGGCTGGGAAAGGAGAGGCCTGGGGGGGGGTCACGCCCTGTACCCCACGCTCATCGGCACTGCTCGCTCAGCCCCCGCTCCTGGGTTGCTTTCCTGCCTGTCCTCTCCCAGCTCCTTTCTCCCCGGTGATTAAAGCACTTTCTCTAGGTCCCCCCTTCTCCTTCCCTGCCATGTTGAGATGAAGCCTTCTCTATGCAGCTCGGACATCTACTCCAACGTGGGTGTTTGCCAACACTAATGGTGATTTTTTTTTGTTTTTTGGGTTTTTTTTGTTGGGTTGTTTGGTTTTTTTTTCCTTTCCCTTTTGACTTCACAGGAGCAATTCCCAAAAGCCCAGAAGCCGGCTCCCCCTGGGCTGGGCCCTGCACATGCTTCCTCCTGCCTTCATCCCCCTCGCCTGCCCGACCTCCGCCGGCCACGCCAGGAGCTGCGTGCTGTTGCCTTGATCCTGATGCTCGAGGGCTCCTTGCCTCTTCATGAGGCCACTGGAAATTTAATCTGGGAAATTTGTGCTGCCTGGGCTCCCCGGCTTCCCCTCCGCACCCCGCCTGGGCAGGGCAGCCCATTGCAAGGCTCAGCAGCTGAGCCAGGGAGTTAATTGTCCCTTGAGACTTTATTCTCACACAAGGAACAAGAAACCTTTTGGAAAGGTGGTTACCTTGGAAAAAAAAAAACTCCTCTAGTCCATCCCCACCCGCTTGCCCAGGGCATGGGAACGGCGACCGCATCCCACTGCAGGGAGGAGGACCTGCCCTTGCCTTCCGCTTCCATCCTCTGCTTCTGCTTCCAGGGCAAAACGTCCCCCGTGTCCCCGGGGCGGACAGGTTCCTCCTCACTCTGAGCCGTTACTGGTCGTCTCCTCGTGTTTGCTGGATCGTATCGACTCCCCTCGTACGCCGGGAGGTGCCAAACCTCCTCCCGGGAGGTGCGGTGCTGTAGCACTTCTCCTGGGAATCGGGTCCCCCCAAGCCCCCTCCCCGTGCCCCGCTGCAGTATTAATTGCCCCTTCTAATTGCACTCTGCAGGGGGGGACCTACAGTATTTGCTGCTCTCTGGTGTTGGCTTCTCCTGGATTTATCCGCAGCCTTACCAGCCCCTGAGGGTGGCTCGTAACTCCTCCAAAGCATAGAAACCCTGACAGCAAACCTGAGCAGTAAGGAAATAACCAAAGCAGCCCTGAGTTGGTCCTCCTCTATTTCATTTCACCTCTCTTCGTTCTTCCTCCGCCGGAGCCTGTTCAACTGTGTGGAACTTAAAGCCATGGAATTAAAAAAAAAAACCCCATATATATGTATATAGATATATATCTATATATTGCAGATACACAAGTTGTTTGTATCCAGGATATAAACCTGGGTGTGAAACGGCGCTCTCAGTTGCACGGACATGTTGTTTCTCTTCCTTGGGCTGGTGAAGGGGGGACTGCGTTGGAGGGGGAGCGGCAGAGCGGGGGCCAGGCTAGCCAGGCTACAAGCGCTGCTTTGCCGGGGTCCCCTTTGATGGAGCGAGCCCTGGCTCGTCCCCCTCTGCGTCTCAAGCTGATGGGGACAGCAGGCAGGTGCCCTGGGGCCACAGCTGGGTGCTGCTCCCCTCCTTGTCCCTGTGGGCGTTTGGCCCCCATCTCCTATAGCCGCTCTTCGGTCCTGCGCTGCCCTCGCTCCTTCCGCGGGGCCGGGAGCATCGCCAGGATCAGCCCATGGGACCAACGTGCCGCCCGCCGCGTTTCCATCGGCTGGGAGAGAGCTGCGGTGTCCCGGTGCTAAACCTTCCCGGCAGCGGCCAGTGCTGCTGTCATTAAAAACATAAAGAAAAGGAAGACGGGAGAGGGGCTGGGCAGGGGGATGCTCTGGGTGCTGGAGGCTGCCAGGGTGCAGCGGTGCCGGCAGGCGGGGGGCCGGGGGCGGGCCCGCC